TTTATTATGCTACTTGATAATTCTAGTTATTTAAGAATAATTACCAAATTTCAATTTGCTTGCAAATTTTCCATGACTAAAATACTAAAATGCTGTCCACTACTCACCTAATTCTATTTATGCTAGTACAGTTATAATTAAAGAAATTCTTTTATTTTTAAAAAAAATTCATAAGCTTCAAAACATAAAATCTTTTTTTCACGGTGTAATATGAGCACTGAAAATTATACATGATCATGATTTTTAAATACATTTTCATTCATGTTTAAGGGTAATATGTCAGACATGTTGACCTAAAATGTAATTATGATGGTGAATGTTCAAATCTAGATCAATGTATGATGTGGTACATTACAGTTTACAAAATGCTTTCACAGCATTAACTCATTTTCAACCCTTATAACACCAGATAAGAAATCATTTCTTTCCTGTCCATCTGTTTTAAAGATGGGGAGACAGCCTCAGAGAAGGAACCTACTTACTTAAGCTAGTAATGGTGGAAACAAGACTGGAAGCAAGGTCATTTGACTGCAAATGATGTCCTTTGTCATCTGTCTAGCCATTCCCAGACAGTGTGATGTGCTCCTGAGGAGCAAAGGGATGGAATTAGAGCTAGCACAAGGAGAAATTGGGCATAGCCTGCTACCTAACGTATGCAGCAGATCTTAGCAATCTTCCTGTTTTGAACAACATATATACCCTGTGGGAAAATATGTCAGAAACCAACACTTATATATACCTTGTTGTCTCTTGGTATCCATCTCTAAGTAATAGAATTTTTTTTTAGATTTATTTGAATATTTCCCATCACAATTAGATTTTAGATCAACAACCAGCCTTGAGAAATCCAAATACCAATTTGATTATAAATACAGTAGTGCATTTAACTACATTAACTATAGCTATAAGTGACATACCAAACCACATTTTTCCATATGACCTGAACTTCTTGGCACTAGCTTGTGCAACTGCCCATATTTAGTGACACTTGAAGGGGCCTTACTTTCCTCCTCTACCTCACACTTTAAATGGAAAAAATCCTTGGTAGCACAACTCTGACTCCTGGACTATAAAAAAAAGAATATATTCTTTCTTTCATTCTTCACTCAACTCTAAAAAAGGAAATAGTGCTCCAGCATCTATGATGGGCATTTATTCCAATAGGTAGTGCTTTCCTACATATTTTCCAGACCCATAGAAAAGCTCACATACGAATCCCCAGGTTATTAGGTCTCTTCAGAGCACAAAGAAGACTGTTGAAAGGTATTAATTTATTTAACAAACATTGGGAATCTGAGTGCTAGATAACTGTGCTAAGCCTGGGGATATAGAGATGAGTGAGATCCCTGCATTTCTGGAATTCTCTGCTATGTTTTTGCTCTTCTCTAAAGAGGCAGATGCAGAGGCCAAAACAGCCTCTGAACCTTCAAAAAGGTTCTGAGGTTTAAGGAGGTAGCACAGCCTCTTCTCTTAGTCTCCAGGAAGGGAATACTGTTTCTGGAAGTTTCCTCAGTATTAGGCCACTGAATTTTTTTCTCATTACATACCTTCAATAACTAAAGATAAGACATACTGGGACCTTCCTTTTCAGACTAGAATTTGATCTTTGTATATTAGCTACCAGATATTCTACTATCTAGTGCTTTTTTCAGTTTAGCTTCCCTGAAGCCAAAATAGAAAAAGAAAAATGATATGAAATAAAAACCAAATAGATATCCCCATACAGTAACCTCTCCTCAAAAAACTAGACAGTTGACAGAATCAACTGTTGATATTTTTTAAAATCTCTCTTGGTCCTTCATGACAGGCAT